GCATTGACTTTGTGCTCCATTTGGCCTTGTACAGCTAATGGGCAATTTAGTCATTGGCAGCATTTCAAGGGAGATAAAGATGGGTGCTTATCAGCCTTATCCCGAAAGACTGTGGCAGATTTCTGTTGGACTATTCATAAACTGTTTGGGACTCATTACGGGCTGTGAATGCATATAATGTTGAAGTAAAACAAAAGGTTTTTGGGAACACCATGTGATTGTTACTGTCTCAGGAAGCCTTGGTCAGAACACTGTCCCATTTCCCAGCATTATAGATCCCAGAGAGCTACAGCGAAGCATAATATCTCCAAAGTACTATTATTTGTGCCTAGTCATTTTTGCCTTGAGTAAGAACTTCTGGGTTGATTTGTTCAAGGATCCATTAGTTCTTTTCTTGGCTGATCATAGAACTCTCAGAGTCTTCTCCAACTTCAATGTTCAAAGGCATCAGTACTCTTTTTATCGCATTACTTCAAAATCCAACACTCACATCAATGGACTGTCACCGATCTTTGTAGGTATAGACACATCAAAGCATCTGAATATCTTTTCCGAGCCCTTCATGTTTCCTCTATCAACTGCAATGTGTGTTTTGACTGCTGGTTCCTTTACAGTTGATAGCTGATCCTAAAAGGCAAACATTATGCATTTCAACATCTTCATTATGAGCTATAAAGCTGGTTCCTCTATCTGTTGTCATGAGTTTGGTCTTCTTTATATTTAATCACAATTTCTTCACTGTGCTCCTTGAATTTTATTACTAGAGCTTGCTTGTAGATCATTTTCATTTTCATCTGAGTAGCGACAGTAGCATAATGCTGGTTATTGATGGTTCTCCCTCTGAACTTACACCAAGTTTATCTTCTTCCAATTCACATTGCTCAATACATATTCAGCATATAAGTTGAATAAATAAGAGGGGAGGAGTCATTGAATAGTGAAACCACATCAAAACTTACAAACAGATCTTCTTACATCTGCTATGTAAGTTTTGACGTGGTTTCACTATTCACTCAAGTCCCGATAAAAGAGACCCTTGAAATCATCAAAAATAAATACCAACCAGCTAAACACCTCATGGAACTAACAGAACACTGCTTAACCAACACATATTTCATATACAAAGGACAAAGATACAAACAAATTGAAGGAGCCTGTTAGGGATATACACCCTAGCAGAATGTGCAACGGTAGTCAGGCAGGCAGGCAGATATGTGAGATAAACGTTGTTGTAGCTTACACTCAGTAAATCAGATACACTGTGCCAGTTAAATAGTTTTTTATTCCAGTAAGAGTTATAGCATAGTCAAACAGTCCATATATCATACACTTAGTTCAGTCCGTCCGGGGATTATCCATTAGCAAAGTCCAATGTCAAAAAAGAGGTCAGTAAACTTACAAATAATCAGTCCAGTATTATATCTCTTTTTGCAGTAGAGATATGAAGAAAATCAAACCTCTTTTCTTCGTTCAGCAATAGCAGGGAAAACATGCAGTTATCACCATCAATCCATCATTGTCAGCAATCCAGTAAAAGCCAGCAAACAGTGAGCTCTCTTGCTCCCTCTTATGGTGATTTTACAACCGCACCCAAAATTACATTTGCTTTGCATTTAAAGTGACAAACACAATCATAGTCTATATATATTATTTTTTACCCAGACTAAGATAGGTAACCTATGTTATTCCTAACAGAGCCCCTATGGGATCACCACTGTCACCCGTCATTGCAAACCTGTTCATGGAAGAATTCGAATCCAGAGCCCTAGCCAATGCCATCCACAAACCCAAACTATGGTTAAGATACATCGATGACACATTCGTGATTTGGCCCCATGGAAAAGAAAACCTAAACAATTTCCTAACACACCTAAACAGCACACACCCCAAAATCAAGTTCACCATGGAAACGGAAACAAACAAACAACTACCATTCCTAGATGTACTAATCTACAAAAAAACAGATGGCACACCGTATACCAGAAGAAAACACACACTAACCGCTACCTCAACGCCCAATCCCACCACCACCTAGCACAGATAAACTCCGTGGCTAAAACACTAATTGCTAGAACCAAACGCCTGGCAGACAAGACACACATAAAAACTGAACTATGCACCCTGACTAAAGTACTGACACCCAGCGGCTTCCACAAAAGCAAAATCACCGGCTTGATCCACAAAAACACACTGAGACATAATGGAGACCTAGAAGATGAACAGACCTATGGAACAGCTGTCCTGCCCTATATAAAAGGTACTACAGACAAAATCAGTAAGATACTACACAGGCATCACATCAAGACTGCCTTCAAAACAGACAGAAAAATAGCAGCCATCCTTAGAAACCCCAAAGATAAAATTGACCTGGAAAACCAAGGCATATACGAAGTCCCCTGTGCATCATGCCCGGCCACATACATTGGACAGACCAATAGAAGAATAAGCACCCGCCTGGATGAACACAAAAATTCAGTAAAAAAGCTGGAACACACTTCCTCACTAGTCCAACACATGGAAGCCACAGGTCATAGCATCAACTTCAATGGCACCAAAACCCTAGCCACTATAGAAAACCCCAGCCACAGAATCATCAGAGAAGCCATAGAGATTGAAAAAAGACCTGAAAGCATGAATAGAAGAGATGATTCCACCAAACTGTCAATCATTCGGAAGCCTGCACTCACAAACAAAAAAAATCTCCACATCACTAGCCAGGCAAACACCTGGACACAAACAGATCCCCCCCTGATACTTCCAGCTCAAACACACCCCAACCAGGCACCCAGATGAAACCTAGCTTCCTAACAAATGATAGCCGTCCATTTACCGGGAGCCAAGCTGCACAAAAGGCCTCCAATAAAGGAACACAATGTTGCCAGCCAATCAAGATACAAAAAGAGCCACAAAACAGACAGAAGATATTAGAAACACCAATCAAGCAGAACACAGCAAACTCCAAGACCAATAAACACAAACCAAGATTCCCAACCAATCAGGATGAAGAAAAAACCATTCTGGCACAGCAATAGGCTGCCCCAAATTTAAAACTGAAACAACTGTGGGGCCTGACTCACAGACGGACACAATACCTGATGATGGCAGATGAGATTCTGCCGAAACGTTGCTACAACTTTAAAAGCACAACTACAATGACGTGGGAAAATACCCGAACAAAGCTGAATGCCATACATGTAAGTACCCACGAAAAC